CTATAATACCTGTACAATTATCAATGTCCTAATTCCTGTAATGCACCTAGGAAAGGCCTTAAATTGAGGCTTTTTACCCTAAATTAAAGGCCTCAAACTTGGTATTTTTATTTGAAAGAAGAGTCCTCTTTTTTAGATTTTATTAAATTGATTATTCAGCAGTGCAAAATATTAAACTATACTTATTCTAAAACTATATATATATATATATATATATATATATATATATATATATATATATATATATATATATGAAATGTTTTTAGCAGCTTCAGCCAGGTCAGATTTAGGGTAAGCCAGTATAATTAGTGGTGGCATGTTTTGCTAATAACACTATTCATTCAGATATTTATCGAAGTAAACACCTGTAACTCCGATTTTTTCCCCTTATCCTCTTTCGCTGCTGTTCTATCCCTATCCAGCTTCTCTGCAGCCTCATAAACGCACAAAAAAATGAAAAACATCGGCCATGAGACTAGTCTTCCTTTCCCAGCACCGTACCTCGCGGCTTCTCGTAATATCTCGCCGGAATTCGCTTGCGGCGATAGCTATGTGGCCACGTCTCATTACTTACCGCAGTACCAAATTAGATTCAATTTAGTTTTATTCCATATGTTCAAATGGAGGTTCTTGGTGTCTGTTTGATTTTGTTTTTAAATTACCCCCTGTGTGCAAGGAATGGACGGGGTTTACTATCCACACGCGGCGAGCGATTTGAACGCAGGTTAGCAAGATTGCTGGACGAGATCGCTTCCACTTATCGGTGTGACCGCGGCCTTAATCTATCTTTTAGCCGGTTAACATGATTTTAATGAGCAAAGATTTCTCTCTCTCTCTCTCTCTCTCTCTCTCTCTCTCTCTCTCTCTCTCTCTCTCTCTCTCTCTCTCTCTCTCTCTCTCTCTCTCTCTCTCTCTCTCTCTCTCTCTCTCTCTCTTCTTTCTCTCTCTCTCTCTCTCTCTTCTCTCTCTCTCTCTCTCTCTCTCTCTCTCTCTCTCTCTCCTCTCTCTCTCTCTCTCTCTCTCTCTCTCTCTCTCTCTCTCTCTCTCTCTCTCTCTCTCTCTCTCTCTCTCTCTCTCTCTTTCTTTCTCTCTCTCTTTCTCTCTTCTCTCTTTCTCTCTCTTTCGCTCTCTCTATGTACATAAATAGATAGATTGATATATAGATAGAGACATGTACTTGTCTTGTAGACAATGAAGTACTGCATTCATGGATAAAAGTTGTCTGTATCGACTGTCTTGACGCAAACAGCACATAACGTCAAGACCATTCGTTGTCACCTTTTTAAAAATAGACTTCACTTTTAACGTATTTCTGTATATCAATTTCCATCAGATTATACCTGAATGCATATTTATTGTGTACACATTGTGTATTATTATGTACACACATTTTTTTTCATAATTCGAAATGCTTGTTACATCCATAAGTTCCGTACCCGGCGCCATCTACCAGGTAAATTGGACCATTACGTCGTCACAGTCCTCAGTGCTCGTTTCGTGAAGTGAAGTTTGTTTACAGTGTTTCTTGTGTTACCGATTTTCTCCCAATATCCCCATGGGTACAAACTTCTTAGTGAAAAATATTACGATTTCAGTTGAAAATACTAATTTCAGTGCGGAAGTTCGTTGGATGTTCGTCATCTACCCAACCGCCCGCCCCATCATCATAAGGTAAACCCAATTTGCTTCTTTGTATAGAATATTGTGCCTGATGAAGCAGTAGAGTCGGAAATGCAGTGGCGAGGAAGGGGATAGTTTATGCGGCGATCGGGAATGGTGTGCTTCCTCCCCATCCGTGGTACCTTTCCTCTCAGGCTCCTCCAGGTTCTCTTCAGGTTCTCTTCAGGTTCTCTTGGGGTCCTCTAGGTTCTCTTCAGGTTCTCTTCAGGTTCTCTCCAGGTTTTCTTCAGGTTCTCTTCAGGTTCTCTTCAGGTTCTCTCGGGGTCCTCCAGGTTCTCTCCAGGTTCTCTTCAGGTTCTCTCGGGGTCCTCCAGGTTCTCTCCAAGTTCTCTCCAGGTTCTCTCGGAGTCCTCTAGGTTCTCTCCAGGTTCTCTCCAGGTTCTCTCGGGGTCCTCCAGGTTCTCTCCAGGTTCTCTCGGGGTCCTCTAGGTTCTCTCCAGGTTCTCTCCAGGTTCTCTCGGGGTCCTCCAGGTTCTCTTCAGGTTCTCTCCAGGTTCTCTCCAGGTTCTCTCCAGGTTCTCTTCAGGTTCTCTTCAGGTTCTCTTCAGGTTCTCTCTGGGTTCTCTCTGGGTTCTCTCTGGGTTCTCTGGAGTCCTCTAGGTTCTCTCCAGGTTCTTCCAGGTTCTCTCCAGGTTTCTCTCCAGGTTCTCTCGGGCTCTCCAGGTTCTCTTCAGGTTCTCTCCAGGTTCTATCCAGGTTCTCTCCAGGTTCTATTCAGGTTCTCTCCAGGTCTCTTCAGGTTCTCTTCAGGTTCTCTTGGGGTCCTCTAGGTTCTCTTCAGGTTCTCTTCAGTTCTCTCCAGGTTCTCTCCAGGTTCTCT